TGCAGTTTTCGATTGTTGGCGTGAAAGCTATTTGATTGTAGCTTTCGTTGTTGGAACTTGACGGGAATCAACATCCATAGTGTTTTTAGATGAATATTTGCCCACAGCTCTCTACCAAGCAACTCGCCAACTACGTCCAACCTTTTATTTCTGAAATTATTACACTGCTCATCAGCATCTCTAATAGTTGCTAATATAATATTAGTCATGTTGTTGTCGCAACCATCAAGATCAATCATCTCAGAAATGAGGCCGTGTTTATAGCGATTGTAGAATTGCGAATACAGTGATTAGAAAGTCGTCTGATTGTGACTTCCATTGTCGGAGCTTGATAGGGATCAGCTATCCATTGTGATTTTTAGACAGCCTATAAGGACTCCGAGAATCAGTCATAAGAATTAGGCTGATTACCTATTTCAGAATATCAATGACAAGAAGATGTCGATCTTGCCGTTAAACCCTTGTGATCAGGTGGAGGTGGAGAAGAGAATATTCGGGGGTAAGGTCTTAGAAACCCTCGAACATGATGAAGGAGGGTTCAAGGTGGGAACAACCTTTCAATTGTTCCACCATCAAGCCAAGAACCCGATATCAACTAAGGCCTTACTTGTCGGGTACCTCATATTGTGGCTGAAAAGTTGTGTGGTTCCCACCCACTCTTTTGAGGTAATCCCGGTAAAGGTTGCCTATCCCACGGTCCGTTTGGCTTACAGACGATCTTATGCATTGGTGCCAGCCATGGTAGCGTGCATTCAAAGCGGGCTCCGTACGTTGACGACATAATTCTGCAAAGTGTCATACGTCGAAGAGGAGAGAGGAGAAGAAGTACCCAAAAACTCCTAATCCCTGTGTCAGCCTGCCGTACACATATCTAATGGCATGGTTCGTGCAGAACTGTGAGTGTTTAATGAGTGCATCAGCTGCACGTCAGGAAGGGAAGCTAATTCCCTTCGTTCAAAGGCTGGAGAATTCCTCATGGAAGTACAAGCAAATTGTTGATATGAGGAAAGCTTTTTTCCTTCTTCAGCAACTACAACTTCTATCGATGCTTCCCGTACTTCCCGAGCGGAAAATAAGACGAGTCACTTTGGGACGTGCCGTCAGGAGATAACCGCACCGCCTTATCTTTAGGTGGATTCCAATGGTTAGTCAACATTCGACTAGGCTATCACATCCTCCGGACGGGCTCAACCTGCCACATGGACCCCTACCTCCCAATTGCTTTGCCCGTCAGTTCTGGTATGACCAATTGTACGTAGGGAATATCAACCCCCGGTTGAGTTTTGAAGGAGATTTGATCGATGGCGTGCAGGGTTGGTTCTGGACCCACACGGGATGCACTAGAGCATGCTTCAACCTGCCGCTCAGGGACCGCACATTCTGCCATATACTTACATATTGTAAGTGGTACCAGAGTGCAAGTTTAATTCCGGAGGGGTTCAATCCACATGAATCTTGTCTGACGGCGCAGAGGCATTGCTCGGGAGGAGTCCCTCGCACACCGAGGCGGGAAGAGCACGGAGCCGTAGTATCTGAAGAGGTTCCTCATGGAGACTCGAAAGCTTATGAGGAGCTCTACGACGGGTTAGGCGATTTCTCGGGCATGGAGTTTAAAGCCCCATACGATCTCACCCAGCTCCCCTCTTACAGAGATACTAAAACGATAGAGGAGTTGGCTCGAGCGGGGGCACACCTGGAGCAACTTAGGGGCCCTATTGCTAATCGTCTACGGATGCCGGCTTTTGCTCCCGATCTCCCAATTTTGTCAAAACGTCAAAGGGAGGCAAACGTTGGGACTTCTGATGAAGGGGTGGCTAAGAAGGCTCGCCACGATGGGGCGGCGACAATTAGCGAAATAGGGGAGGGTCACGCCATACCTGATCCTGAACCAAGATCGGGAGTGATTCCTCATATTGTCGTGACTCCCTTCGACCGTCGAGGCCAAAGATATTCAACCGATCATTCCGGAAGGTACAAATTCCTTTTATTCCTCCTTTAATCAAAAGACTGAATCCGATCGTCCTATGTTTGTTCCGACTTTATGAAGGGGCAACGGATGCTACTATCATCGTCTCTTCCGAAGACGAAGAGGGGGAGAAGGAGGACGTCGATCACGCTGGTGGCAGCGATGCCGACACAGATGGCGCCTTCCGGGATTACGAGGAGGATGGGTCGGCTCTTCCCCCTCGTGAACCGGTCTTGGAGGTTATGACTCCCATCTTAGGTATTTGAATTGTTAACTTTTGATTCAATGGATGTTATTTTAGTATACAGACTAACGCTTACTCCATCGATCTTGTTGCAGTCGGGATGACTCCCGGGGCTGTCGACCAATGGACCCATCTGCTGACATCTGTGCGTGCGAGGGTCACCGCCTCACCTCGTCCACATGGTAGTCGACAAGTGGACTCCCCTATCAAGCCCTCAGTTCCTGTTGAAGGGACAGTGGTTCGAGCAGAAGAGGCGCCGATTCTAGGAGAGGTGCTGGTTCAAGGAGAAGAGGCACCACTTCTAGGAGAGGCTTCCCTTTAGGAAGAGGAGGCATTGACTCGAGAAGAGGCTTCCCTTTATGAAGAGGAGGCGTTGATTCGAGAAGAGGCTTATTTTACAATGCCTATCACACAACGAAAGCAAACAGTTATTCTCAAACGTATTTTGATTACGTTTAAAGGAAATAGACAAATTCTTGATTCAACATGTCCAGTGAATTTCATATTATTGTATTTTTATGTTACTGTTGGAAAAACGATGCTAATTAATAGTGCAAGATTTGCATAAAAAAAAGAAAGAACAACAAATCGATACTGAAATGCTGTACACTGATTCAGGTGTAAAATGAGGAAAATGGAGCAATGGTTTTGGTATATATATCTAGATAAATAAACCACATCAACTTAAGACCTAAAACTAAGCAAATAAAGAAGGATTTTTACATCAAACAACCTTTACTTTTACCCAAATTGATACTTACCACCTTTAAAGTTTTTTTATGTAAACTACATTTACTTGCTTACATGTTTGCGATATCACACTTTTTTTACTGTCCTCCTACGAAAATTCAGATATTCCCATTTTACTTTCATATTCTTCCTTTCTACCCCTAACCTAGCTCTAGTCTCATCCATCCTCCTCTTCTACAAACCCTAGCCCTAACTCTAATCCATAGCCACGACCTCCCTCAAAACCTTAATTCCAACTCATGGCCGCCACCTCCCTCAAAGCCTAACCATAATCCTAGTTCCCACTTGGGAAGGAATGGGATACTGGAAGATCGGAGAGTAAGAGGGAGGACGACAAAGTGGGAGAGGGGAGTTGAGGGAGGAGGGAGAGGCAAGATGGGGAGAAGAGGAGGATGAGGAGGCTAGGGTTAAGGTTTGCGTTAGGGTTTGTGAGGAAGGAGAGGGAAAAACAAGAAAATTGCGAGGGTAAAATGGTCATTTTGCATATTTTTTGGCTAAAAACTGGATTAAGTGTGACATTACAAACATGTTAGCAAGTAAGTAAGGACGGTTTACATAAAAAAAGTTTAAAGATAGTAAGTATTAATTTGGGTAAAAGTAAATATAGTTTTGATGTAATAACCCAATAAAGAATGATGCAAAATTTTAAAAATTGTTCTCATTTTCGCTGTGATGAAGAAAACTGGGCGTTTTGGGCCCTTGTACTGATGTTTTTTCGTCTTTGCTCATCCCCATACAATCGCCATTCCATTTGAAAGAGAAGAGGCGAAACTGGTGAACCATGACCCTGTACCAAAATACTGCTCGAGTTGCAGAAAGAAGATCCAATACATCAACTGTAATGAAACAGAATTTATAAATTACAAACCTGAAGCTTATTTACAATTTAATATTTGGCTTAGTCAAATCATAGAACAAAATATTCAATTCCTTCCTACCATAAACTTCAAATTCAACAAAACCCGGTGACACTGCTCTGCTATAGTTAATCCAATAGAAAGATGTGGAAGAGAACAAAACTGACTTTGTGTTTTGGGTATTTATATAAAATCACTTTTAAGGAACCAAAAAAAAAATTGAAGAGAAATATTGTAATTCTTAAGGTTAGGGCAACATTATCTTTCCAAGTTTTATCTACTACTTATAAACTAATCTACTACTTATAAACTAAAGGAGAACAACAAAAAAGTTCTGATGAACAGTAAAATTTTTGAATATATATATATATTTTCCTATCATTTCCCCACAACCGACACGTTGCTTAATTTCCCCACACAAATTGGCCACGTTCCTCAACTCCCACGTTCCTCAACTACCCCCACGACATACTTTCTTCATCCTCCAACCTCCCGAGAACAAAAAGCAAAATAACTCCATCTGTGATTTCAACCAGGATCCCTCTCCCTCTCTCCTCGCTTCCTTCTCCTTCACTGAGAGTGAACACAGAACAAAAAGCAAAAAAACTTCAACTGTGATTTCAACAAGAACGCCATCTTCCTCTGCGAGCTCCTCTGCGTTGAATTACCCTCCAAGGTTTCCTCTTTAATTTCTCGATTTTAGGTTTTCTTCACCATGGCAAGCTAGGGTTTTACTAAATTGATTGGCTATTTGGGATCGAACAGTCGAAATCCAAGGCTTTAGTTGTGTTTTCTAAATGTTATTGCTGAATTACCCTCCAAGGTTTCCTCTTTAATTTCTCGATTTTAGGTTTTCTTCACCATGGCAAGCTAGGGTTTTACTAAATTGATTGGCTATTTGGGATCGAACAGTCGAAATCCAAGGCTTTAGTTGTGTTTTCTAAATGTTATTGCTATATAAGTTTCTTTTTTATTATGAAAGTCTTTTTATAAAAATCGAGGGTTTGTGTTGAGACTTCGCCTGCTCAATTTTCTGCTGACGGCAAGCTTCAGATTCAAATGGACGGAGAGGAGTTGAGCGCTCAAGAGACTGCTCTCTACGATCGCCAGATCCGCGTCTGGGGCGTCGATGATCAAAAGAGGTACTTTGATTTTTGATTGTTTTGATTGTTTTGATTATGTAGTGAAATTTTGTGATTTTGAGATTTTTTTTTTTTTTGGTTTTGATAGGTTAAGCAAGACTCATGTCCTGGCAAATGGATTGAATGGCACTGCTGAGGTAATTTGGTATACGGTTAAACACCTTTGAAATTTACCATGGTGATTACTTTGGAGTTTAGCTCAAATGTGAGAGAAAATTGAATCTTTATACCGCTCATCGTTAAATTTATGTATTTTTGGTTTTTAATTTTGGATAACCCAGAAAATATTGTGTTGTCATAGTGAACTGAAAAAAGGCCATTTGTTCTTCGAGTTGAGTTTCAACTCTCTTTGTTACAGGTAAAAAAGGCAGTATGAGTTTTCTTTGTTCCATGTAAAAAAGTCAGTCAGCCCTTTAAACCCGCGATGGAATGGATACCGATACCTTTAAGCTTCTTTTTGGCAGTTATGCGAGCAATAATCTTTGTTATACATGCATATTTCTGTTGTAGTTTGCACCTGGGGAAGATTGATTGTGCTACTGATCCTGTAAATTAGTAGCGGTTTCGAAACCTATTACAACTAATTTATGACGGAGTTCTATCAGCAACCTATTGAAACAATGCTACAGCTGATCGTTTTGTTTCTTTTGTTAGTTCTGCAAGAATATTGTCCTAGCTGGAGTTGGAAGTTTGACTATTATGGATGACCATATAGTTACAGAAGATGCTCTTAGTGCAAACTTCTTAATCCCTCCCGCTTCGGTTAAAGATGAAGGAAGTTCCCTTGCTGAACTTTGTTGTGATTCTCTCAAGGAGTTCAACCCGATGTTCGTGTTTCAGTTGAAAGAGGTACATTTTCCTGTACATTTTCAGCAATTGAATATCATTATGAAAAAATATGATTTAGAATATAAATAAGTAGAGGAAACCTTTGTTGTTTTGTAGGTGACTTGACACAGCTTGATGACGAATTTTTTGGACAAGTTTGATATTGTAGTTGTTAGTTGTTGCCCATTTAAATATAAAGTACCGAATCTGTCTTTTTTATGGAATTGAACTAGCAGAACTTAATTATGAGAATTTATTTGTTACATTCTCTTAGATAATAATATCTTTTGACAAAAGCAGACAAATTTTTTCCCCAATGGTTAAGGTTGGAGTTTCTCAATATGCTGAAGAAACCAATTTGTCAACAGCCACTTAAACTGTTTGAATCTACTAAATATAAAGCGAATATTGCAACTGCTAAATTCATTGGTATAATAAGCTATAACTTGCAGGAATAAGCGTCCTGACGATGAATCGCCAGTTGAAACTTTTTCATATACACTATTATTCCTCAAAATAGATAACTTGAGGGGAAGGATTCATAAGGTAATTTTGTAGGTTCATGTATTAGTTAAAAGAAGAGTGAGTTTCATTACAATTTTACTTCTTAGTTTCGATATTAGTCCTTTAAATATTTCTTTTTTTGAATTAGTCCTTTATATTGTTAAAACTACTATTAGGTCCCCAAATTTGCAGAAATTTTTTTAGAAACCGTGCTTTGCACGGGTCTAAATACTAGTTTTTAAGAAATAACCAAACAAAAGAAAACAACCTATTACAAGAAATAGGTTTCTTATAATTCATTTCCTTTTTTTTTTCGCCAACCAAGAAATCTCAAAACAAGTTTTCTTAAAAAAACACTCACATCATCCTATAATAAGATGACAACTCATCTCATCTTATCTTCATTTCTTTGATTTCCTTCTTTTTTTAGCAAACCAAACACTCCCAAAACAATTCTTCTTAAAAATAGTTTTCTATTTCTTTGATTTCCCATTTTTTTAAGGCAAACGAACAGACCCTTATAAGAACAGGCTTTAGCACATCAAAGACTATTTTCTTTTACTAAGTTTTCTCCGAGTCTTTTACAAATCCATAGAACAGTGACAATGAAGACTCGTGGAAAAGATCAAAACTGAAAAAAGATAATTAAAAATCGTTAAGATTGAAAACGCTTAGTCATCAAATGGTAAAAATGAGAACGAAAAGTATAAAGTAATAACTTCAGTCTCGGGGTGGGGGGTGCGGCTAGCCAAAAATTCAAGAGAATAGAAAAGTTGAAAAAGAAGATTTTTTTTCTACTCACTTAATCTTTGATACGTTGAAATTAGTAACCCAGATCATTGAAATTATTATTGATCCCCAAATTCTTATATCATGCTACTGCTATTTAATTAGAGATTAATTTGAAATAATCTATGATAATGGGGGATCTAACAGTAATCATATTTTGATGTTTGAGTATGCTAGGGATATATATATATATATATATATATATATATATGAGCTTAGAAGAGATACATGCACGAAAGCATGAAAAAATCTGTATCTGTGCTGTTACTAGTCGACTAGCAAGGCCATTAGTTGACTAATAGTAATATTAGTCGACTAGTCGGATTGTTTCTAGTTTTCTTATGGGTTTCGGGTCGGATTCGTTTTGTTTCGAACCCGATTGTATATATGCATATATATATATATACTCATTTTAAAGCTCTTTTTACCCTCTTGCATGTGAGATTAACACCAGCCACTTTCCTCCTCAAACCCTAACCCTAAAGTGTGGGTTTTGGGAGAGATCTCGAGGCGTTTGTCGAGAGAAAGAGGAGGCTTTGTGGTTTTTGATGAAGAAGGGATATTGCACGCATGTTCAGTAGTTCAAGGTAGCATTTGAGGCAAAGTCATCTTCATCCAAACCTGCCCTATATTTAGTTAAATTTTTGAAGATGTTTAATTAATGTTTTCTTGGTTAAGTATAACCTAATGTGGTGAAAATCAGATTTTTGATGATAAATCTTAACCCTATGCTAGATCTGAAAGTAAATCTTTGCTGTTGATGATAGAAACATGATCATGATCATTAGGGTTGATGTTATTTTCATTTCTAACTAGTTAATTATGTTTAACACATGAGTAAACCATAATTAGTTGCTTAATTAAGTTTTCTTGTAAGCTAATCATGCTAAAACCCTAGGTTTGTGATACCTAAGTCATATAAACATGTATAAATAAAGTTTCACCTCTGTTTATGAGTAGTTTTAATTAAGTGTTTATAATTGCGTTGTATAATTAAGAGCTAATTAAGAAAATTGATTAATTAGGATGTTAATCCCAAATTAGAAAAAGTTAATAGATTTGTTTCATGTTTAGGATGATTTCTGTTGAATATTACATATTTTCATTTGTACTAAATCTCATGATAAGTATATGATGAATGATAAGCTCTGTTCGTGCATGAAAGAATGCATGTTTTGACAAAGTAGTCGACTACTAAGTTTAGTAGTTGGCTACTCATGTTTAGTTTGGATTTCTAGAAACTAGAATATTACAGAGTAGTCGACTAATATACTTAGTAGTCGACTACTTATTCTGATACATGCCTCACAGAGTCTGGATTGACTCAGTGTAGTCGACTACTAAGCTTAGTAGTTGACTACTAAGACTTTTCCTGAACATTATGTTACACCGTTTTAAGATGTGATCGCGGGGTTCGAGTCGCATGATAGTACACGTATAGACATGAATATACATGAATAATGTCATAGTACACACATAAGTATCCTAAAGGGGATTTTGACAAGTGTTGAGCTGATTATACACTTGAGTTAGAGATCGTTTATACACATGCTGGATATCGTTGATGAGCATAGCTCGGTACTATATGAGATAGTGCGTTGATATACCAGACATACATAGTTTATACACTAGATGGATATCATTGATGAGCTAAGTTTAGTACTACGTGTGGTGGTGCGTTGATATTCTATTTGTACAGGCCATTGAGTCGGGTTTGGATTCTTTGTCTAGTAGTCCGTCGTTACGGGGGCGTGATGAGGCTTGTGAGCCATCTCTTAGGATACCTATATAGTAGACCATCCCGCACTCATATTACACACTAAGATCACGATGACAGTAATGAGCTGTGTACACTATTAAGATACCTGCAAGGTAGTCCGTTGCGCATAATAATGTGATGAATTAAAATTTTTGCAAAGAGTTGCAATATGACAATTATGAGATAGCTTGAGTTTGGTGGATGCCAAAAGTGAATTTGACTCATTGTTGAGATATTTGATGACTGAGATATCTTGTTGTGCGAGTACAGGAGATACATATACTAATGGTTATTTTGATGCTTTATCTTTTTAGTATGTTTCCTTTCATTCTTAGTTTAGAATTAATATTTAGTTATCTACAATTTGAGACATATGGTATATACATGAGAGTTTTCTTGTTTGGATTATTTCGCTCGACTACTACGTCTCGTGTTGTAGATCTCTAAGTATTAATTCCATTAGATACAGGGAAAATAATCTAGGTAGACTATGCTTAATAGATAGAGCATCCACTTCATCTAGCAGCCCTTTCCCTGGGGGCGGATAGAAGTTATCATGCTGTATCGCTCTGATGCTCTTCATGTTTTTCTTTTTGCTTTAAATTTTCCTTTCAGGCAGCTCAAAATTCTAGTGAGCCATAGGATGACGGAGTCCTAGCATAGTTGTCATCGCGCATTTTAGTAGTTGAGACTCCACTGTTGTGTTTTGTTCTCATTCAGATATTAGAGTTTTATTTTCATATTGTAAAGGCAGTGTACCTTAGTACGGTTTTTAGTTGATTCATATTGAAATATTTTTATTATTCCAGAAATCAGATATATTTTAGTTGAGACATGATTTTTATTTATGAGATATCTCTTCCTACATCATGTCTATTGTTTTTATTTCCTTATTTGGCCTGTTTTGTACCTACACTTATATTTGATTCCACTAGAGGATATTAATATAATTGGTAAAATGTGCTATTGCACATTGTGGGTTCATGACAGGTTTGGCATCCTTGGATTCACCTTAGACTACAACCTTATGTGAACCCATCTGCGTCACAGTTGGTAACAGAGCTCTAGTTCTAGCATCCTTAGGATCATTCATGTATTGAGTCGTGGAGCTAGGATAGAGTTTCATTGGAATCATGTATAGAATCTGTTAGGAATTCCTAGATTGAGTGAGGACGTTATATATATATATAACGTGAAAATTACGAAATTTATTTTTATGACCATCTTACTTCGATTGAAAGTATTTGCATGAATGAATTACGATAGGATTTTTCTTATCACACTCTGTGAGGACGTAGATGGAGAGTATCCCATGCTCTAAGAGTGAGACAAGTTGAGCTAGAGCCAGAGCCACAGCAGGCTCCACTCGAGCCGTAGCAGGCTCTACTCGAGCAGCAGCAAGCTCCAACCATCTTACTTCGATTGAAAGTATTTGCATGAATGAATTACGATAGGATTTTTCTTATCACACTCTGTGAGGACGTAGATGGAGAGTATCCCATGCTCTAAGAGTGAGACAAGTTGAGCTAGAGCCAGAGCCACAGCGGCCCCCCCGGGAGCCGTAGCAGGCTCTACTCGAGCAGCAGCAAGCTCCACCTGAGTTGCAGCAGGCTTCGCAGTACCTTATAGACCTCATGGCATATATAGCAGCTAGGCTAGCAGCGCTTGAGGAGCGAGTGGTAAGCCAGACTCCACCAGTTGCACCACCGCCTGTAGTTCCATCGCAAGTGATTTTAGCAATTCCTATTTGAGAGGAGTCCTTAGACGGTACACTAGAACTTACCTCACCATCACTTGCAGACGCAGACCAGGAGGCTTAGATTCGCCTAGTCAAGAGGTACTAAAAGATGTGGGCACCAAATTTCAGGGGTCATCAGATTCGCTTGTAGCCCACAAGTGGATGGATGAGGTGAGTAATATCCTTGACCTACTTAACGTCGATTCGATACAGAAGCAGATGCTAGTAGCTTTCAGCCTAAAGGGTGATGCCGGAGGATGGTACAGGCTTCAGTTCACCCTAGAGCATCGGAGGACTTCGTTTATTTCTTTGACGAGCAGTACATTTCTTCCGCGGCACGGGCCGGGAAAGAGATGAAGTTGTTCAAATTAGAGTAGGGAGATATGTCCGTAGCAGATTACGAGAGTTAGTTCATGAGTCTACTTCGATTTATAGTCATGTAGCAGTCAGGAG